GAATCTCCTTTCCATTCCCTGGGATTTTTCTTGTTATATGATGGCTGTCATGAAAACACAGATGGAAAGAGAATGAAGAGAGGAAAACATCGAGTTGGGTAAATTGCCAGCAGATGATCCTTGTGAATTAGCATGTAGAATGTGATGGACAAGGTCCTCCTTTACCTGTGCTGAGGCCCCTGCACAGATTTTCCCTCTGAATACGAAGCATCAGTCAGGGATGTGAGATCACTTGGACCCACTCTCTTTGTTAATAGATGGCACAGCTTAGAGTGGAGCCCCTTTCACCTTATTAGCCAGGTGTTTTTGTCCCTCTTTTATCAAATGTACCAAACAATGGAAAACATTTTTTCTGGCTTCAAAAAAATTCACTTAATGTTCATAACTAATTAAATTCTCACTCTGGTCATGATTAATGTAACAAATAATTACAGCTTAGATCTCATATAGATACAACTAATTGTTCTGCCCACAGTGCATCGTGACTAACAATAAAACAGAGCTTTTAAGGTAAAAGCAAAGAGATCTAAGGAATGACCTTTACCTGGCTTGACTCTTACTAGTCCTAGAGCTTCTGTTTTCCTCCTCATTTCCTTAATGGAGGTAAATGGCTGTATCCATTTCTTTGTTTACATCTGGCTTTTATTGAGTATTAGATAGGCTCTACTTCCTTGTGTTTCTGGTCATTCCAGTTTGTGGTATGTTGGAGGTGTCAGTAAATCACTGAGGAAGAGAAACAGAGAACACTGCAACCATTGCATTTTCTTGAAGGACAAAAGTTCAAAAGAAAAGTAGTGGGAAACTCTCAAACTACTGCAAATCACAAACTGGGCCACATGTCTGTCTGCTTTAGTGCTTGGCCACTCCATCCTACGAGAAGATGTTCTTCCATTCCGCAGTGCTAAGAAGCCACTGCTGCAAGCAGGGGGATTAGATGAGTGTTGGGCTGCTCTCGGGAAGGCATTGCTGACCAACACAAACTCTCATAGAACCACTTGGAGATGCTCACAGCTATGAATGGAATGAAGTTAAACATGTGACTCATTTGGAAATAATGACCATTCAGTATTTTATTTTTTTGTCTTTGATGGATAAAGTACATGAAGTTCCAGGGAGCTTTCAGTTAAACTGAATCCTATATTAGGTCACATAGGCAAAAATTACTTTCTATACAGCCCAGAGCTAACACTTAGATGTTTCTCCACTCTACCCTCACAAACTTTCCCCCAGTGTTTCATTGTTCACTTCAAACTTTGCAATGGAACAGGTTTTTATTTCGCCAACAATTTTAGACCTAGTTCCATCCAAAGTTTTAAATAAATTTTGTTCACGAGTAGTTTTGGAGAAATAAGAACAACGAAAACCTAATTAGTATTCCTGATACTGACAGTCAAATTCAGATATTATGTTAGTTCTAGGACCTAGAATTTCTGTATTTTTTCCTGCCACATCCAAACTTTTTGAATTCCAATTCTGATTACTTTCTCAGCTTCTCTTTTCATTTAGGAGTCAAACCTGTTTGAGCCAATTGTCCTATCCTTAAATGCCAATAATCATGTCAACAGGACTTGAAGGGTATGATGTGTAAACTAAAGGAAGACTATCAGGCTTCTGGGAGGTATGAATCAGAAAACCTATGTCTCTTCTCATTTTCTTATTTTCAATGGGCAGAGCAGAGAACCAATGATCTAGCTGGAGCTGAATGTGTTAATAGTGAACGAGAGGATTGATGAACAAAAAATGCTGTACATGAGGATTTGGCTGAAGATATTTCCAGGAGGCCTGGGGTCTATAGCTATCACCTATAGTGAAATTCTTATGGCTCCATTATTCTGTGAATGTCACATAATTACTCCACTGCCTTCATTCTTACTCGCTCTAGAGTACTCATTGGCAAATTTAAAAGGGGCATTGGGTGAAAACAAGGCATCTCCAATTTCCAAAGATGACTGAACTTAAAAGTAAAATCAACATTTAATGTTTATAATTCATCTTTTTCCATAAAAAATTCAAAATAATTGCACATTTACAATCTTTTCCCCAACTTGTTAGGTACTAATGACATTTTCTTATTTGATCTCCATAAAGTGTATGTGTCTAAGATGTCATCATTAATGAGTAAGAACCTCTAATTTATCTTGAAGACTCAAAGGATAAGCAAATGCACTGTGCGGACAGTTATAAAATTCCAACCAAAAGCAAAGAAACTAAAATTGACTTATATTTTATACTTTCATCATAGGAAGACATATGATTTCTGTTAGAATTTTTGAAATATTGAAAATAATTCATTAATACAATCTTCCTGTTTCCATTATAATCTTGAAAGTGCTTAAATGATTCAGGGGCTCTAATATAGAAAGAAAATCTATAAATGCATAAAATAATATAAAGGTAAATTTTTCTCTGTCAACTATTTCATGCTTTAGCAATATATATATATATGTATATATATATTTATATTTATATATATGT